ATATATATATATATATATATATATATATATATATATATATAACTCAAGCCTCATTCCAATTGCCCGCCCACCCTCTCTCTCTATATTTGGCATTTTTTAACTCCCGCTCTCTTTTATAGTATTTGTCATTTGTTTTTAGGTATTTGTTTATTTTAATATTATTTGCATATGTGTCTTAAGAGGAATATGGAGTATATCAGAACAGAAGAGCAGTTGGCTGATATATTCACCAAGTCTTTGGGAAGAGTGAAGTTTATAGAGATGATCAAAAATATTGGTCTAAAAAGCTGAAAGTTTGAATGACAAGATTAGGGGAGGCAATGTTATTATAATCTTTGTCATTTTGTTTTTAGGTGTTTGTTTATTTTAATATTATTTGCATATGTGTCTTAAGAGGAATAACTATGCAGCAGTTATTACTCTCTTATAGTTTTTAAATGTGTGGCTTAAGAAATAACTGTGCAATAGTTATGTTTTTAGAGGTTTTATATATTTTGCTCTGTACCGTAAAAACAGAACTCTCTCCATTTTAGTTCTAGTCTACAGTTTTCCTTTTGGTAAAATAGAGAAGGTTTTGTGTGAAGAAACTTTTCTGTCCCGTTTTTCTTCTTTCACTGTTTTTGTTCTTTGCTACAGGTACAAATCATTACAAACAGCCTCTTTATCTCTCCTCAGCAGCATCTAAAAATTTTATTTTAAAAAAAAAAAACTGTAGGCTCTTTAGTCCCACACCGCTTGAATTTTAATTGCTATGCTAGATAAAACCAAATTTATATTAACTTTATTGAAAGCAGAAACGAGACAGCTGAATCAGGATTTGTTTTGTTTAAATTATAAATCATTGTTATGGCTGAACAATTCAACTGAACGTTTATTTTTTCAGTGGGGGCCCGTGCCCCCAGGGCCCCCATCGTAGATCCGCCACTGATATTAGGTATAAAAGTTTTTGGAGAACTAACTAGAGAAAATATTCTATTAGAAAGTTAAGCAGCTTATTGACGAAATTTGACTACTTATATGACAAAAAAACAAAAGTAAAATTATAGAGCTATGAGAAATGCAAAATAATACAATACATGGTGACAAAATACGCGTGCATTAATAGAAGCATCCAATGGTGCCTAAATAAAAAAAATTTATTTCACTCCTTAGAATGTGTGAAGTCTAATATAGTTGAATCAAATATATCATGTGTCTACTTTTAATTGTTTTTTTTTTTTTTTAATATTTCTATTTGCTCGTTTCTTACCTCTCCCAACAAGAAATGATAGTAAAATTTTAGTTTATTTTGGTGAGCATGGCTAGGGGTGTAAATGAGTCTAGTCGAGTTGAGACGAGACACCCCTAGCTTTTTAGTCTGTGGAATTTGATTGTGTCGCTTAATCGAGTTGTACTATTTCCTAGGACCTCATTTAAATTTGTCGTGCTTGTTGGGGGTCCTCCCCTTGCTTGAGTTTGGGTGCTTTGCATCCATTTTTTTTTTCGCACAATGCTCTGGCGTCGTGTACCCGAGTGCCCACGCACTGTGTTCTCAAGCACCTCGATGTTGAAAAACTTGCTAGGAGAAATGACAAAGAACTTAGCACCGCAACCCTCTAAATTAGGCACTGCAATGCTTCAAGGCGGACTAGTTAGTTTTCTTTCTTATTTTTTATAAGAGTGGTGTCCCTCTGTGTTATTTACTTGACTTTATTTTTTATTTTGTGTGAGAGAATGGTGTAAGAGAGAAGTGAAGGAAGAAGAGAGTGAGAGAAAAGAAAGATATGTACTTATTTCTTCCAATTTTTATAGTGAATTTATTGGTGTGGTGTGATTTTGTAGTTTTTTTTTTTTTTTCTGATTTTGCATTTTTTTCACGTTAATTCAATGTGCTTTACTTTCTGTTGCATTTATTTTTTTTGTTTGTTTTGTCGCGGTATTTACTTCCAATGCACCAACATAGCTTGGGCTTGAACTTGATTAGTCAATATAGATTGAGTTTATTTTATGAGTTCGAGTCTGCTCAGAAGTCGGCTCATTTGTTAAGAAAGAGAGAAAATAAGTATGATTCAAGCAATTTGATGCGGAGCATCTTTGTGAGCATTGGCTGCAGGGATAACTTACCTACACATGATCTATTAGTTGGAGGACGTTCACCACTATCTGCTTATTTTTATTCCCTGCTTTAGACCATTAATACTTGAGTATGCTATTTTTATTAGTAGCTACTTTTAGTACAGTTGGTGGTTAGAAAATATATGTGCTATATGGAGGAGAATAAGACCTTAGTTAAGAAATTTTAATCACAAAAGTTTTATCTTCACTGTTCTATTACTCCAACTACTTGCTAGTGCCCATTACATGTAGATTGCCTACATCAATTTTTTTGTTATAATAGCCAGATGGCGGAGAGCAGGAGACGGGTGGCTCCCGGTGATGATCGAAGCCTTGAAGCCCTTTGGGAAGAGCATCGGGGTCTGGCACAACACTTGGAGGAGATTAAGGTAGATGCTCAACGCTTCTAGACTGAGGTGCGATGAGATCTATGAGCAATCAACGCACGCCTGGATCTCAACCCTACGTTGTGGGCAGCAACTACGACAAACTTACTGGCAGTCCAACATAGGATAGACAAAGTAAGGAATATGAATTGGGATACACCGATATCGAGAGTGTCTGATTCATATGAGGGAGCAGAGCTACTCAAGGAACTAGAGTTGTCTAATTATGAAGAAGATATAGGTCACCACCGCCATAGGTGACCGAGAGAAGCTAAATGACATCATAGCGAGTTTCACATCAAGATGGACATCCCATTCTTTGAAGGACAGCTACACATTGAGGACTACTTAGATTGGGAAAGAGCGATGAAAACTTTTTTTTTGAGTATATGAAAGTTGAACCAACAAAATAGGTCAATTATGTTGCATGTCGACTAAAATCGGGAGCCAGTGATTGATGGTTACAACTATTGCAATCTAGAAGGTGATAAGGGAAAGGACTAATGCATAGTTGGTGGAGAATGAAACAACTACTTCGAGGCCATTTCCTACCCACAGATTACGAGCAAATGTTGTATCTACAATATCAACATTGCTCATAGGGAAGTCGGTCAGTTAATGTTTACATAAAAGAATTTTATCGTCTAAGTGCTAGGAATAATCTAAATGAATCTACAAACCAGCTAGTTGCAAGATATGTGGAGGGTTGACAGAGGCAATTCAAGACAAACTAGAATTGAACACCATATGGTCCTTATCACAAGCAGTAAATTACGCATTGAAGGCAGAAATGCAAATTATAAGACATAGTAGAACTAGTTAAGGAAAACGTGTAGCTAAGCAAGCAGTTGATAGCAACCAATCTACTAATTTCAATGCCACCCAGAAAACCGGGTATAGAACCTTGCTGCAAGAAATGAACTACCTATTGGTGCCAGCAATAAGAATATAGAAATTAAAACAGCTCGAAAGTTCAAAAAGCAACATAAAAAACCTATGAAGATAAGAAAGAAAAAAAAATATTTCAAATCAAGTCGGTAGCACTAAGCTCAATCATTAAAAAAAATAAAAAAAAGTCGGTAGCACTAAGCACTACTAGCGGCCGTTTTTTTTTTTCTTTAATTTTTAAAGTTTTTTTTTTAAATTTATAGTATCATGTATAAATAAATAGTATAATTAAAAATATATATATTTTTAAAAAAGAAAAAAGAAAAGAAAAATAAAACAAGTTAAAAAATCCAAAAAAAAAAGATAAAAAGGAAAAAAACCAAAAGAAAAATATAGTTTAGAAAAAGTTAATTTATATATTTTAAAAAATAATAAAAAAAAAACTAAATAAAAGAAAAAAAATAATGAATATGGTTTTTATTTGCATATGTGACTTGCACCTTTTGGAATCTTTAGTTTTTTTTTTTAAATATAAATAAAAGCAAGTAAGTATTTGAATCGGCGACTTGCATACAAATAAAAGTCCGTCCATCCAACGAATAACTGGCTATCGTTCTAAGCTGTAGTCCGCCTAAGTTCCATGCTGGCAAAGGGCTCGAGCAAGTCGCCCTTTCAAACACCAGCTTTATTGTTTTTTAAATTTTTTAAAGATGAGTAATTAAATAATAAAATTAATAATGATAACTATTTTTAAAATTTATCCATGGTTATATATGCGGGCAAAAGGAAAAATAGTTAGGCCTTGTGACTAGGAATGCAAGTAGGAGGTGGTGTCGGCCGGTCGGCCCCACCGGCCGGCCCATTCGGGGCTTTTTATTGAACCGGTTTGCAGCATTGACACCCCTGCAAAAATTTCGAATCCTTTTTTTCCCGCTCGATCTTGAGATCTGACAGGGTTTTCCCGCCATTGACCGCCATTGTCTAATTGCGGCTAAAATCAAGAGGTCCTCTCTCCCTCTCGCTCTCTCTCTTTCTCCCTCTCTTCCTTGCCCAAATCAATGGCGCATAGGCCGAGCTGTTCTACTTCGTTCTTTGGGGAACTCAGAACAAGAGAGATTAGCGGTTTTAAAGGTAACAAGTTTTCCCTTTGATTCTTTCGTCGTGCTTGATCAAACTTGATTGTTGCTCACAGTGCGTCAACGGCTGTATCTGGGCGATCTATCGATCGATGCCGGCGATTTCATCATTGAGCACGAAAACAATCCCTCGCCTCCTCTTGCTCTTTCTTTCTGCAAGGTTTTGTTTGCTCCTTTAAATCTACTTATAAACAAGTAATGTTCTTCTTAAAGACCTAATATCTGTTCGATATTTTGAAGCAGACGAGTGGAAAATCCCACATCCTTGCGGTGTCTGATGAAGAAGGGTTTGTAAGCTGCTACGATACTAGGAAGCGACTCAGCTGCCATTCTTCTTGCTGGGATAAGACGGGTAATCACCATATAATTTTGCTTTAAGGGCCCTGTTTTTGTCTCGCATGAATTGATTTAAGGTTTTAGTTTCTCTACTTTCTTGAGACCTATTTTGCTTTAATCACTGCAGCAGAAGCAAAGATTTCTGAATGGGTTGCTCATGAAAACGCCATATTTGATATTTGTTGGATTAAGGTATCATGAATACTCTTTCTGGCTTCTGCGTCTTCATTTGGATTCGTCTATTCACACCGTATGTATAGTGGAATTCAAAATGACTGTAACATAAATATAAACTGATCTGCTTGATTTGAGATCGCTGTAACTATTGGATTTTTTTTTTTTTTGAAGTTTAATTTACAAAGTCATAGGCAACGAGTAATGATATATGGTAAAATGCCAAATTATGCATTAGATGCTAGGAACATGTGGAAATGACTATCGGGAACTTACACGATGAATGCACTGAATAATACCAAAGAAATTAACCATTATAAGATGATCCCAATATTTATGTGGAATTGTAAAATTTGTATGAAAAATGTATTGATAAATGATCGTGATATCCTAGCATTCATAATGGTAACAAGTAATCTGGTTTTGGTTAATTTGCTACTGTGGGTCATGATAGTTATGTAATTAGTGGTTATTAGTTAGTTAATGTGTTATAATAAGCCGTTGTAAGCAATGTTCAAAATTGCGTAATCGGGTATTGAGGTGTTTTTTGTTCGTGAGTCGAGGCGAAAGCCTCAAGGATTTTTGAGGCGTACGCCTCAAAATCAAAGGATTGCGTAAATATAAAATGATAAATTTTGTATATACTAATGAATAAATAATATATAAAACATAAAAAAGTTTAAGATATGAAGTGAAATCAAAATATCCCAAAAATAAGATAACATGAAGTATAGTTCAACTCAAACACCATCTTTCCCAAATCATAGTATTCTTTTCATTAATATATAATTCCAAAAATAAATAGTAATGACATATCACATACGAACTCATAAGTCATCAGCACTGTCATCACTAAGGAGGTCTTCATTTAAATCATCATTATGATGAATTGGTCTCTCCCCTTCCACCTCTCCTATAGAGTCCAATGTCTCCCAATCAGGTCCTTCCTTAATATCAGTTATCTTATTCTTCCCTAAATATTTTTGAACAATATCAATATATTAATAAAAGTCTAAGAAAACTATATTATTTATATACCTTTTTGATTTGTTATTGAGTTGTGGTGGATGTAAATGCTTTAAGACCATCAAATAAATCAAAATTTAAATCTTCATCTTGTAATTCAGACAGCATCATTTCAATTTCATCATCTACAAATCACTTATCATCAGATGCTACATCCTCGCAAAGCAAAGGATTTTTATCATCCATTAATTCTTTTTTCTTCAAATTCCTATATCTAAGTCTTCTATTGTACATAATGTACACCAATGAATTCATCCTCAATATGATTTTCACCAATGTATTTTTTCTCTTTGTATGTACTTGGTTGTAGGTACTAGGTACTCCAATTTCTTTCACAGCCAGCTAAAGAGCACGTCAAGCCCAAAACTTTCACTGCAAAACGCTGCAATTATAGAGTCTCATCGTCAAATTGAATATACCACTCAACTAATAATTATATAAGAGAGTTTAATTAGTGCGAAAAAAATAACTTTAAAATAAATGCTTAAACATAAATAAAATTACATGAAGATCGTTTGTCAATTATATTCTTTGCTTGTTGTAATCCAAAAAAGCCTTCTTTCCTTAAAGGTATCAATTGCATGTCAACATTTGATCTTTTAGTTGCATCACTTATTAGCCGATCCATACAATGATACAATCCCAACATTATTTCAGGGTTTGTAGACTTGTTCTATGTATATTAATATTGATGATTTAGGTAATATCCAGCTGCATGCAAGTGTCGGTGAAGCTGTAGCTGCCACCTATTATCAATAATATTTCAAATTTCTTTAAAGTTATCTTATTCGTCTCCTAAATTGAAGGCAATCATTTTTTTTGGCTTCATCCATGCCATTGTAGATGAAACCCATTGCAGACTTCTTCTCAGCATTCACAATTCTTAAAACAAATTTTTAATTACATTAATTATTTATCTAGACCATAAAAAGAAGATATTTTTAATTACAAATTTTATAATAATTAATTTAAACATTTTCAAATCATGTCATAAAATAACAATAAGTTTTTCGTTACAATAATAAGTATTTCCGTTACAACATCAATAAATATTTTTGTTACAATAGTTATAATTATTTTAGTTATAATAGTAATAATTATTTCAGTTACAACAGTAATAATTATTTCCATTACATTGGAATTATTTTAGTTACAACAGTAATAATTATTTCCATTATAATGAAAATAATAATTATTGTTGTAATTGAAATACTTATTAATGTTGTAACTGAAATAATTGTAATTGTTATAACAAAAATACTTATTGTTGTTGTAACGGAAATAATTATTATTATAACAAAAAAATATATTGCTTTTTATGACATTATTTGAAAATGTTTGAATTAATTATTATAAAATTTGTAATTAAAAAAGGCATTCTTTTAATGGTCTATATAAGACCTTGATTATGATGAGTATAACAATTTTTTTTTCATCATTCATTTCACCATACATATATTCAGAGCAAATATCTATATCATTGTTCTTGCTTCCCGCTGTGATTAGTGCAGATCATCGCGAAGAGTCCGTTGAATTCTGGGAGTTAGACTGCTATGTACCTTTGAACCTAGGTGGAACAGAAATCTAAATTTAAGAATAATGTTTCATATGTCTCGATCTATTTATTTGATAAGTCTTCTTATTGCAATTTTCTTATAACTTTTATATATTTTTTACAACAATATATACTCTCAATTTAAGAGTGTTTGAAATTAATCAAAAAATGAATGAACCCCGTAATTCTCCTCTTCCAACTTCTCAATTTCCTAATTTCTAGGGTTGTTGGCTCCTCAAATTTCCCTTTATCCTTCAAGTTTGTATCAATTAGTGCTCCATTTAGCCTTGCGTTCAGGTGCTTTGCTCTTCTCCCGCGCAGTGAAGTTGGTCTCTATCCTCACATTGAATCTTGTATCAGTTGTATGTGTGTGTGTATGAAATTAATCCAATGGCCTTCATAATAAGTTCGTAATCAGGGGGAGGGATGACAAGAATCAAGGTAGATTGGCCAAATAAGAATAACTCTTTATAGGATTATAATTGTTTCTAAACTCATGATAATCTTGCATAATACAACCATCAGATCGTTAAGTTTGTAAAGTTGTGCCATTTTTATGCCTCATTCTTTTCATAGCATATTTGTTCTACATTGCAGGACGACTCCCAACTTCTTACTGCTTCTGGCGATCAAACAGTAAGTTTAAACCGTATGTTGATTAATTTATCCTTTTATATCAAAAGTCCTATTGAAGATTGTTTTTTGTGCTTACTTTTTGTTGTCTTTGATTGTGCTCAGCAGTGCAATTGTAGGAAAATATTTAAATAATTATTATTCTCCTCAGATAAAGTTATGGAATGCTGAAAAGAGGAAATGCATTGGATTATTGACAGGGCATACGGGTAGTGTGAAATCTGTTTCCTCACACTCATCAAATCCTGGTACTAGTTCTTATCATAGCTATTACGTTGTGTTCACAGTTTTCTAAATGACCAACTCTGCTGAATCTTGATAGTTGGTTATGCTACATTTGATGCAGAACTTTTTGTTTCCGGTTCCAGAGACGGATCTTTTGCCATTTGGGACCTTAGGTGCAAGTTTGGTTCACATGGAGTATCACGTTTATCGTATGCTTATTTGCCTTCGTTTATTTGCATCTTTAATTTTAATAGTTTTATGATCCTTGAGCAATATTACACTTTGTGCACATTCCTAACATAAGGAATCGTTAAATCCTTGTATTTCAGGTCTACTTCTGTTGTTAAGGAAGCCCATTCATCCTCTCATGGAAGAAGAACTAGGAGAGGACAGGTTTGCTTCTATGATATATAAACTACCAAATATTTTATCTTGGTATATTAGTTACTAGATTAATCTTTTCTCTTCTAGGCTGATTCAAAGAGCGTTACATCTGTACTTTACCTAAAAGATGATATCTCTATTGCTAGTGCTGGTGCAGCAGACAGGTAAGAGAATTAATGCTAAATTTTAATTATATATTGTTTTAGAAATTATTTAACTTTTAGATCTGAAAATCTGTTGAAATATATCAGGAGCTTGCATTCTGTTTTCAATAGATCTAATTGAGACAATCTTTTTGACACCTTCCAGCTACTGATCTGGACTTATTGATGTTTATTTGGTCAATTTTTGATGTAGTGTTGTGAAGTTTTGGGATACTCGAAACCTGAAATCAAATATTTCCCAGGCTTGCCCAGACATCAAGTCATTTTCCAAAAAAGTAAGAGAGAATTTTATACCTTTTTGGAATTATATAAAACAATCGATTCATTTTTGTATGAAGCTCAATGAAATTACAGCACATAATATTTGTTCATATCTTTACTATTGGGTATACCTATGCTACAGATTTTTGTAAGTTTCAATTTTTTTGACTTTAATTGATATATAAATTGTTAATACATTGAAGGAGAAAACACGGCATGGGATTTCCTCTCTATCTCAAGATACAAATGGCGTCCTTCTTGCAGCCTCTTGCATGGACAATAGGTGCTACTATCATTATCTCTTTCATTCTTTCTTCAATCTTCCTTAACTTTATTAGTGTTGGATTATATTTTAATCAAATTTACATAATATGTCAGGATATACTTGTATGATGTTCTTCATCTTTCAAAGGGTCCCAAAAAGATCTTCAATGGAAGCAAGATTACATCATTCTATGTCAAGGTAAAAGCTAAGACCTTGTCCTTTGGCAAACTTTAAATTCCTTATATGTGAGATAAATTTATCCTTATGAAATTAACCTAAATTTCATGTACCTCCAACCGTTATTGTCCAAGTAAAAACAGCATATATTTAAAGAAAACTTCTAACCTATGTTAGAAAGCCCTTTGATGGGTATTTGGATGCAAGGAATTTTTTCTTGAAACTTTCTATTAGGGTCGCAATCTTCAAAAAAACGGTATTGCCCCTCTTTTATCTTTTTCTATTGTCAAAAGCAATTGGTTCATTTTTGAATTAACGCATCATCAAATTTCTTTATTAATTTATTAAAATAAAAATAATACTAATCACATCATATGTGAACCATTAATTATATATGATTAATTAAAATTCCTATATTCTTCCACTTGGCCTGTATGTGAAATAATGAAATGTATTATATTTTTGGGTGACAACTTATAACTTATTATGGCTATAACTTTGTAGGTCCTCGAATCAATAATGTAAGCCTTTGTACTCTCAGAGAACATATCACTA